CAAACCCCTCTGGCTGTGCCATAAAATCTCCTTCTCAAGGATGCTGTTAAGGAATGCTGTTACGATGTCCATTTGTTTACTACCCATCCTTTGATGGCGGCTCCCGCGAATAGGGTTCGCAGCGTCGTCGGCTTCACCACAGGGGCAAACATCTCCTTAAAGTCCACCTTCTCCTTCTGCTGGTACCCCCTTGGCTACAAGCCTAGACTTGTAGCGCTCGATCTTGCCGTCGGCATCCGACTTGATTTTGAAGAGCCACTTGGACGTTATCGCCGTACGCCCCTCCGGTAGCTCCACCAATTCGAATGTGTCATTCTCCTCGATGCTCTTCAGCTCACTCTCCATGGCCTTCTTCCACTCCTCAGCATCACTACTCTCCAAAGCCTCCTTGAGAGTTGCTGGTTCTCTCGGCATCTCCACCGGAGAGAAGAAACGCGAAGGCACACTCCTCGTAGTCACTCTCCTCGTCGTCTCCGACCATCATTGCCGCTCCGGCCAGGGCTATCTTGCCCTGCTTTCCCAGTGCATCATAAGTCAGCCTATTAGGGGGTTGAACTCTCCTCTTCCCCCTTCCTTACTCCTCAGCTGCAGGGACTTGAAGGCCTGGTGTTGCTGCGGTGTGGCTCGAATCCGTGGAGCACTCATAGTATGGGAAGGGAGTGACGGTGCACGCTCGCTCACTTGCTGCACCTCCTCCTCTTCTTCCCCTGCATCATTGGCCTCCTCTCCCCCATTCACAAGGGAGGATTGCCTCGTGGTTGTGTTGCCGCTGCTCAGCTCCGAAGGCAGCTCCACATGCTCCAAACCGGAACTCTTCACTTCCCCAAACCGCACGCCTATCTTCGCCTCATTCTCCGCCTTCCAATCCTTGTACATGAAGTTCTCCATGAACTTGCAGTCCCTGCTCACCAAGAACTTCTTGGTGAATGGGTCCCAAAGAAGCCATCCCTTGCTGTTTTGAGCCATGCCCAAGTGCACGGCCCACACCGCCTTGGCACCAAACTTGTTGTGCCGAAAATGCTTAGGCACGAGCGCCATGCACATGCACCCGAACACCCGAAGCATATCCACCTTTGGCTTCCTTCCTAGCCACTCCACATAGGGCACCCATTTGTATGCTCCCACATGAGTCAAGGCTCGGATCTTGGCCACACACGCGCTCCGCACCGCATCAGGCCAGAAATAATCGGGTAGCCCGGCTTCAATGAGCAATCCACGTGACGCCTCAGTGATTGTGCGGTTCGCTCGTTCGGCGATGCCGTTCATTGCAGGGGAGTATGGCATGGTGAGGGAGTGCCGAATACCATTCTTCTTCAGCCACAACCCAAACTCCTTGCTCATGAACTCTCCCCCTCGATCGGTGCGGATTGACTTGACTAGACGGTCTTGTTTGCCGCTCCACCATCGGGAACCAATACGTCTTCAACGTTTCAGCCACGTCGCTCTTCTTGGCCAGCACATACACCCCAAGTCATGCGGGTGTAGACGTCGACAATGGTGAGAAAATACTCAGCTCCAGCAGCTCCAAGCTTCAGGGGGCCCACCACGTCCATCACCACCTCATCAAGCGGTGCCTTAGCCGTCGCCTCCGAACTAGAGAACGGGAATCGGGTGAACTTGGCTTGCATGCACGTCGGGCAGCTAAGTACCTCATCGGGCTCCCCCTTCACACGTATGCAGTAACCATCTTATTCTTCACTAGCTGCTGCAAGATGGGCAGGGCCACATGCCCCATGCGCCGATGCAAGGTGAGCCAATCATACTCCCCCGTAGACGAAGTTAGATTGGAGAATGCCGCGCTCGCAATAGCGCCCCACATACTCTCTCCGTAGTCCTCCTCCGCTGCTACCTCGGGGTTCTCCTCACCGTTTTGCTGCCCCACGGGGTTCACCCTTTTGCTGCTCCTTAGCTGCTGCACCTCTCTCCATAGGTTCACCAAGCTTGCTGGTCCCTCCAAGATTGCACTTCTTGGACTCCTTCTCCTTAGCGCGACCGTCCGCGCAATCGCCGCTACCAACCGCTCCACCTTTAGTGCTGACGCTTGCTGCCACTTGCCTCTCTTTAGGCATTGGGACCACAGGGATCTGCCACATCTCGTTGTAGACATCTCTGTCCTCATGAAGGTCCCAAAGAATCCGATCGCCAAGCCTTGCGGTGTAGGTCTTGGCTCCTTTCGAGTTAGTGTCCATGCCGGCCTTTGCCAACCGCCACACGGAAATCAGGTTTGCAGCAAGGCTAGGCGCCCAAAGCACGTTCTTGAGGCCCACCATCTTCCCATCAAGCACCCTTGAACATGGCCTTCCCCATGCCTTTCACCTCTGCTTATTGCCCCAAAGCCGATGTGACATACTTCACCGGTGACGGCTCGAGTTCGGTGAGCAAGTCCGGGCAAGGTGTCATGCTATAGGTAGCGCCACTATCAATCACCCAATAGTCCAGGGGGTGTAGGGTCACCTTCCCTACAGCTGCTGGCTCCTCAAAGCCTTCATCCTTCTCTGGACCAGCCCGGTACTTGCGTCGACACGAAGTAGAATAGACCCGGGTATCGATCGTCGCTCGGGTCCTTGTCGTTGTCTCCGTTCTTCATGTTTGCAGCTCCGCCACCGCGACTGCCACGGCCTCCACGGCCTCGTCCTCTCCCTCCTCCTGCTCCTCTACCCTCTTGGCCTTGAGCAGGGGTCCAACCATCAGGGAGTTTGTAGCAGTCGCGCCACATGTGTCCGCTCTTGTGGCAATAGTGACACTCGCCGTCAAATCGGCCGCGACCGAGTCCGTAGCTCTTGTCGTCGCTGCCGTAACCGCCACTCCCGCGGCCTCCGCCGAAGTTGCTGCCACCGAACCTTCCTCCCCCTCGTCCTCTGCCTCTTCCTGGGACCATATCCACGGCCGATGCTTGCTGCCCCAGCGCCATCCGCACTCGCCAACTCACGGCGGCGGAAGTCCTCTTGAAGGATAGCTCGCTTTACGTCTTCGAGCGAGAGTCGGGGCAAGGCGCGATTCAGGTTGATGATGAGCGAGGACCATGATTCGGGGAGTAGGGCCAGCAACTTGGTCTTCTTTTGGAGCTCACTATAGTTCAAATCAGCTCCCTCAAGCCGCCGTCAACAAGTCGAAGAATTTCTGCACCCCTTCTTCAACCGTTTCATCCTCTTTAATTCGTAACGTCGTCATTTTGCCTTTCCAACACCACAGCTACCGCCGCTGTTGCAGGAGCTTGTACACCCTTGAGAGCAGCCCATGCTTTTGGTCCCTTCTCTGGTTCACGCTGGAAAGGCTTGATGTGACGGATTTGGCTGCTCCCCAACGCTTGCCCAAGTAGGAGGTAGCCTTGTGCGCTCTTCCGCACCCACGGGCTCTTCTCCGGGTCGTTCTCGGGACGCTTCTCCGTTCCTTCCATCACCTCCAGCAGGTCATAGTGGTCAAATATGTTCTTCATTCTGAAGGAACACTCAGCAAAGTTGTCACCATTGAACTTGTCAAGGCCAAACACTCTAGGCTCATCCCTAGATGGGCCAACACTTGGTTGCACGTGCGCCATAGCTGTATCGCGGGGTTGGCCTTGAGCTTGGGCTTCTCCTCTACCACCAGCACCTCTGCCACCCCTTTCCTCATGTCCAGCCATTGTCGAAACTGCTCCAAGGGGCTCTGATACCACTTGTTATAGTCACAGTAGGCTCCAATGTGCCTAAAACGAAAGATAGAGTGCACAGTCGGATTTCTGCACAGCGGCTTCAAACGTTCATATCGTTCTGGTCGCAGCTTCAAATGACTTGATTCAACTTGGATCTGGAGCGTCTTATTGTCGCCTACAAGAGGCAGTTTAGGTCGCACGATTTGACCAAGTATTGACGACACAGCGCTGGTTTGAACGAACGGCACTATGGCAGCCACTATAGTCTTAGAAAACAAGATAGGAAGAGTTAGGAAGAGTTACGAGTTGGGAATGACTCCCAGCTCCTACAAACCCCAAGAGCCGAGGTACAGTGATGTGGAACAGTGCCACACTGTCCCCAACCACGAAGGGTCTCGAAACTACCCTTCCCTAGGGCCTACACCAAGTGAAATGTTACACTACACAAAGTAATGTAACTATCTTCAATATCTTGAGGTGCACCCTTTTGGCGAGCTTCGAAATCACTCGAGGCCTGACACAAAGGCTCGGGTTCTTCATCACAAACTCATCCTTGGGTTCTTGATGGGTCTTCAGCACACACCTGCGACACGCCGAACGTTCGACACAGGAGAAAATAAAACCGCGCGCGAGACACAAACGACCGCGTAACACGCATCTTGCGATATCTCGCTATTGACTCGACACACACACTCGACATCATGACTCAACATTCACACACAATTATAAGCATGAAAAAATATTATCCCATGCCCTCATACCATTCCATACACACACACATGCACGCACACGGACAACAAGCCGAGTGCAAACCGTAGGGTTGCACCAACAATTTTTATACTCGGAAAATACAAGGATAAACGAGATAAAACGAACCTTCGGGAACACGCCCTTCCCGATACTACAATCACAAGTGCGCATAAGCACGCAAGGCTATTGGCACTTTGGATTACGCCCAGATTACACCGTATACACTACTGTCGGCGCTGTCGCTGCCGTATAAAAGGTATGTCGGTGGGAAAAGTAGGAAATATGAGAAATAAATAGAAGGCTCTAGAAATAGAATAGTAGGCCGATTGAGATGAGATAAAGACCAAAATAAAGAGGAGAAAAGGGAGAATAGGATAACGGAAAAATATAATAGTGAAAAAATATTATAACAAGGACGTCCTCTCACAGCTGGGGAGGTCTCCGGCATGGAGACCCAGGGGTGAAGGTTGATCTGATGCGCCGCGTACCGAACCGTAAACGGCCACAGAAAATGGGGGGCAGCCGCATGCATCGTCGACGTACGGGCGACGTCCATGACCATGCCAATGCGGCGCTCAGCGATCCCATTTTGCTGTGGAGAGTCCGTAAGCGTAAAGGTCTAGCGAATGCCTCGCGCACGGCAGTAGGCTCGCAGAAGGCCAGAGGAGAACTCTCCGCCTCGGTCAAAGTGCAGACGTAGAACAAGAAAGTCTGAGCCAAAGCTCCTCCTGAGCTGGAGACTGGCTGCGTGGATCCAGTCGATCAACACCTCAGTTACATCACCCTTGCTGCGCAAGGGGGAGACTGTGGTGTAACGCGAGTACTCGTCAACCATCGGTAGGAAGTAGCACTCGTGACCCTGCCCACGGACGCGGGCCGGGCTCCACACGTCCATGTGAAGCGTCTGCAGCGGGGCCTCTGTCGGGGGAAACTGAGAGGAGTGAGGGGCAGCCAGTAGCCGCCCCTCGACACAGGGGACGCAGGTAGGGCCAGGCCTTGGAGGAAGGGGAGGGAGGGACCCGGGAAGACCAGAGACAAGGACACGGGAGGCCATGCCTCAGAGACAAGGCAGGGAGGGGTGACCAAGGTGGTGGTGCCACAGGAGAGTCTCGTGAGACAGGAGGCGACACGAGCAGGGGGCAAACTCAGGACCAGACCTAGACGCTGCAGCAAACACCTGACCCAACGCAGGTACCTCACCAGACGCAGGGACAGGAGGAGACTTAGTGGTCAAAGTGTAGAGGCTCGACCCCGGCCGATGCGTAAACGTGGCCAGGTGCCGGCCTGTGCGAGTGTCCGAGCAGTGGGTCACCCGCTGACTCGCAGGAGTAAACTGGTGAAACCCCGCATCCTGTAGGTGAGCACCACTCGCCAAGTTTGTAAAGAACGAGGGGAATAAAGACCACACAAGGTGCCAGAGGGGGCAGCCGGACACGGGAGGACAGTGGAGAAGTGAGCAAGGAGAGGACCCCCAGAGGAGTCTGCCACGAAGACTGCAACCGGCCGACCAAGCGGCGCGAGTGTGGTGCGGTCTCGAAAGAAGGAGCGAGAAGCCCCTTAGTCAAGTGTGAAGGTGAGGGAGGCCAAAGTCGACGCGGTACGTGAAAGCGCAGACTCACCAGCACCTAAGGATGCAGACGCACTGGCACCTAGAGCAGCAACCACACTGGCACCTAGAGCAGCAGCCTCACCAGTACCTAGAGCAGCAGTCTCAATGCCCGGGTCGGGCGGGAAACACCGGTAACAGTCACCCTCATCACTAATAATCACAGCATACATGGCAGCAAGAATAGCATCAAATTCAAGATCAAAGATAGCTACACCCGCCCTATACAGCTCACCCCAACGGGGGATCTCAGTTGCCTCCAGGAACTGGTGACGCCAAGCGTCCGTCAGGCAGCCGAAGCAGCGCTGGGTGGGGTGTAGACCCCCACACTGCTCACCTGCGCGGTCTCCGGTGCGTAGGACGTAGGTGCACGGACCAGTACCCCCACCCCTCTGATGTGCAGCGTACCACTCATGGAGCTGCTGAGGGGGGGGGATGTCCCGAGAACTCTGCTGCTGCTGCTGGCGCTGACCACCACCGGAGCCGCTCCGCTGCGTAGCACCACCACGACCAGCTCCACCTCCTCCACCTCGGCCACCACCGCCGCCTCCGCTCTCACCGCCACCGCCTCCGCCGCCTCCGCCTCCACTGCCGCCACCGACACCTCCACCCCCGCCACCACTCCCACCGCCACCCCCACTCCCTCTGCCGCCTCCACCGCCACCTCCACCACCCCCGCTAGCTCCGCCCGCGCCCCTGCCCTCCTTGCCCTTGCCAGAGCGGCGTCTCCCACTAGGGGCAGACGCCGTACCGACCGACTCAAGACCAACAAGGTCGGCCGCAGCAGCAGAGGCGACAGAGGGCAAAAGGGGGGAAGGGGAACACCCCTCAAAGTTGGGGGTGCGAGGGTCACCACGAGAGGCTCCTGCAGCGACTATGCTCTTCTCCGCTGCTAAGAGGGCCTTCTTGAGGAGGTCAACAGTGAGAGTGGTGGGACAGACTGAGAGGAAGTGGTCTCTGACTACACGAAGGGAGTCAGGGAGGCGGGTGACTATGTAATGGAGAGCGATGTACATGGGGGGGGGGTTTGTGGCGCGGAACTCAGCCGGAAGCGCAGCGCGGTAGGGAGTGTTACTAGTGCGGAGGTGCGTAATGAGGTCAGCGACTGTGGGAAAGGCAGCAAGGTCAGGGAAGAGGTACGGTAGCATGAGGCGGCTTAGTGCAGCAGTGGCAGGGGAAGAGTAGCGCGCTACTACAGCGTCGTACAAGGTCTAAGCACTCTTGTACTGACTAAAGTGTGCGCGCTTAGTGGTAGGCAGGTGGTGACGTACAGCAAGACGTGCAGCAGCATCGCGAGTGGCCCACTGTGAGTGAACAGTGGCGTCGGCATCGGCAGCAGGGGCAGGGGAGGCACCAGAGGTGAGGTCAAAGAAGGAGAGATCATCTGCCCTATCGCACTGTAGGAAAAGCTGGAGGTCATCGACCTAGACGTCAAAGTCGATGGCCCTGCCCTTAGCGTCAAAAGCGAGAACACTGGGGGTGGTCATGACAGCAGTATACTAGCACCGTTAGCTGTAGAGCAGGGGCAGTGCAGTGACAGGGGCGCTTCTCTCACCAGACAGGGCGGTTTGGGCAGCTCAGCAGCACAGTAGCTCAGCAATACGGCGGCTCGGAGGACTCGGGCGGCGCGGCAGCAACTATGGCTCGGCGGCACCCGCGGCTCGGCTCCTCCGTTGCTCAGGCGGCTCGGGCGGCTCGGGCGGCTCGGGCGGCTCAGGCGGCTTCGGCGGCTCGGGCGGCTTGGGCGGCTCGGGCGGTGCGAGCGGCTCGGCTGCGTAGGGCGGTAGGGCCGCTAGTAGGGCGGCGGGGGCCGCTGGTAGAGCGGCGAGGCCGCAGGTAGGGCAGCAGGGCCACTGGTAGGGCGGCGGGGCCGCAGGTAGGGCGGCGGGGCCGCATGTAGGGCGGTGAGGCCGCAGGTAGGGCGGCGGGGCCGCAGTAGGGCGACGGGGCCGGGTCTAGGGTAGGGCGACGGGGCCGGGTCGAAGGTAGGGTGATAGGGCCGGGTCGAAGGTAGGGCGACAGGGCCGAGAGCCGGGGCTTAGGTAGGGCGACGGGGCCTGGGCCGGAGGTGGGGTGACGGGGCCGCGATCGCAAGTAGGGCGACGGGGCCGGGGCCGGGGCGCAGGTAGGGCAACGGGGCTAGGGCTGGGGCCGAAGGGATGGTGGCGGGGCCAGGGTCGTAGTGGGGCGACGGGGCCGAGGTCGCAGGTAGGGCGACGAAGTCGGGATCAAAGGTAGGGCGACGGGGCCGGGGCGCAGGTAGGGTGACGGGGCCAGGGCGCAGGTGGGGCGACGGGGCTGAGGCGCAGGTAAGGCGACGGGGCCGGGGCCGTAGGTAAGGCTACGGGGTCGCAAGGGCTAGGAAGCAGGGGCCGCTAAGGTGGCGCAACGTGGCCGCTAGGGCGGCTCGACGAAGGCAGAGAGGGGAGCGTGACTTAGGGAGCGCGCTCCGGGCAGGAGAAAAAAATCGATGTGGTGGGCCCTAGGCACAGTTCCCACGAGAGAACCTGCTCTGATACCATGAGAAAGTTGAAACGAGAATGACTGCATCAAGGAATGAAAGTGGTACAAATATGCAACCCTTGAAATGTGTACCCCATATACGCTACCCCACTACAGCCTACACAATATTATATTTTGACACATACTACTAAATTTGATGTTGCAAGTATTCGGGATGACGTGGCGTCCTGAACAATGGTTGCGTGGCACATTGGCAACATCCACACACTTAACGAGAAACTCTTTTCAATGTGCGTGAAAAGATTTCTAAGTAGTTAAAATAAGTTTCTATTTATAAGACTTATAAGACACCCAAAACTTCCCCAAATACAAGATAACCCAAGCATTTTTTTAAATGTTTGAGATTTGTCAAACTTATATGCTATATTCAGTGTAGGCTGTAGTAGGGTAGACTATATGGGGTACAACATTTCTAGGTTTTCCTACTTGTACCCACCTGCTTGCTAGTTCATTCATTCTTCATTCTTCACATAGTATAGAGCAGGTTCCCTCGTGGGAACGCTTCTCAGGGCCCACCACCTGACTCGATCTTTCTTTCCTGCCTGAGGAGCACCCCGTAGGCCGCCCTCACGTCGCGCCCTCCTAGAGGCCCCTCGCGCCACCCCTAGCGGTCCCGTCGCCGTCCTTTCCGGCCCCGTCGACGCCCCTCTAGGCCCCTCGCGGCCCCTTCGCGGCCCCGTCGCCGCCCCCTAGCAGCCCCGTCGCCGCCCCTCTAGGCCCTTCGCGGCCCCTTCGTGGCCCCGTCGCCGCCGCTCTAGGCCCCGTCGCCGCCCCTCTAGGCCCCTCGCGGCCCCTTCGCAGCCCCGTCGCCGCCCCTTGCAGCCCCGTCGCCGCCCCCTCTATGCCCCTTTCAGCCCCTTCGCGGCCTTGTTGCTGCCCCTCTAGGGCCCTCGCGGCCCCGTCGTCGCTGCTCTAGGCCCCGTCGCCGCCCCTCTTGGCCCCTCGCGGCCCCTTCGCGGCCCCATCGCCGCCCCTTGCGGCCTCGTCGCCGCCCCCTCTAGGCCCCTTCACGGCGTCATCGCCACCCCTCTAGGCCCCTTGCAGCCCCTCTGCGGTCCCATCGCCGCCCCTAGCGGCCCCGTCGCCGCCCTTGGAGGCCCCGTCGCCACCCTTCGCGGCCACCTCGCCGCCCTTAGCGGCCCCGTCGCCGCCACTAGCGGCCCCATCGCCGCCCCTACCGGCCTCGTCGCCGCCTCTACCGGCCCCTTCACTGCTGAGCCGCCCAGCAACTGAGTAGCCAAGCCACCACGCCGCCAGCCGCCCAGCAGCCGAGCCGCCCAGCAACCGAGCCGCCAAGCCGCCCAGCAGCCGAGCCGCCCAACAGCCAAGCCGCCGAGCCGCCCAGCAGTCGAGCCGCCGAGCCGCCGTGCCGCCCAGCAGCCGAGCAGCAGAGCCGCCGAGCCGCCCTACCGGCGCGCCCCGGCCCTACTTACTCGAACGAGTGAGATCACTCCCTGCTAGGCCACTACAGTCATGGCTACCCCAGTGTCCTTACCTTTGATACTGATGGTCGTGCAATTGACTTCGAGGTCTAGGTCGATGACCTCCTGCTGTTCCTAGAGTGCGATAGGGCAGACGGCCTCTCCCTGTTCGATCTCACCTCTGGTGCCTCTCCTGCCCCGCCTGCTACTGCTGACAGCACTGTTCGCTCACAGTGGGCCACACGCGATGCTGCTGCCCGTCTTGCTGTGCGTCGCCACATACCGACCACTAAGCGTGCCCACTTTAGTCAGTACAAGAGTGCTAAGACCTTGTACGACGCTGTAGTTGCACGCCACTCTTCCGCTGCCACTGCAGCTCTTAGCCGCCTCATGTTGCCGTACCTGTTCCCTCACCTTGCTACCTTTCCCACAGTCGCTGACCTCATTACGCACCTTCGCACTAGTGACACTCACTACCGCGCTGCGCTTCGTGCTGAGTTCTGTGCCAAGAACCCCCCCCCCGGCCATGTACATCACCCTCTACTACATAGTCACCCGGCTCCCTAACTCCCTTCGCTTAGTCAAGGACCAATTCCTCTCAGTTTGCCCCACCACACTCACCGTTGACCCTCGCACCCCCGTCTTTGAGGGGTGTTCCCCTTCCCCCCTCTTGCCCTCTGTTGCTTCTGCTGCTGCGGCCGACCTCGTTGGTTTCGAGTCGGTCGGTGCGGCGTCTACCTCTAGCGGGAGACGCCGCACCGGCAAGGGCAAGGGGGCCAAGGGCGCTAGAGGGGCTGGCGGGGGTGGTGGAGGTGGTGGTGGAGGCGGTGGAGGGGGTGGGGGTGGTGGTGGGAGTGGTGGCGGGGGTGGAGGTGTCGGCAGCAGCTGTGGAGGCGGAGGAGGCGGCGGCGGTGGCGGAGGGAGCGAAGGTGGCGGAGGCGGAGGAGGTGGTGGAGGCGGCGGAGCTGGCGGAGGCAGCGGCGGCAGCAGTGGAGCTGGTTGCGGCTCTGCGCAGAGGAGTGGGTCCGGTGGTGGTCCGCGCCAGCAGCAGCAGCGCAGTCGTGAGACCCTCTCCCCTCATCAGCTTCATGAGTGGTACGCTGGGCTTCTGCGAGGTGGGGGTACTGGTCCGTGCACCTACGTCCTCCGTACTGGCGACCGCGCTAGTGAGCAGTGTGGGGGCCCACACTCCACCTAGCGCTGCTTCGGCCACCTGACGGACGTGTGGCATCACCAGTTCCTTGACGCCACTGAGATCCCTCGCTGGGGAGATCTGTCTAGGGCGGGGGTTTTGATCTTGATTATAATGCTATTCTTGCTGCCATGTATGCTGTGTCTAATAGTGTTGAGGGTGACTGTTACCTGTGTGTTCCGCCTGACCCAGGCATTGAGGCTGCTGCTCTAGGTGCTGGTGAGGCTGCTGCTCTAGGTGCTGATGCGTCTACTGCCCCAGGTGCTGGTGAGTCTGCTCTCTCAGGTACTACGCTGGCTCAAGCCTTACACACCTTCACCCTTGACTCGGGTGCTTCCCGCTCCTTCTTTCGAGACCGCACCACGCTTATGCCGCTTAGTCGGCCGGTTGTGGTCTCCCTGGCGGACCCCTCTGGGGGTCCTGTCCTTGCTCGCTTCTCCATTGTCTTACCGTGTCCGGCAGCCCACTCTGGCACCCTGTCGGGTCTCTACCTCCCCTCGTTCTCTACGAACTTGGTGAGTGGTGCTGATCTACAGGATTGGGGGGTTGACCAGTTCACTCCTACGAGTCAGCGGGTGAACCACTGTCCGTGTGCTCAGACGGGCCGACACTTGGCCACGTTTACCCGTCTGCTGGGGTCGAGCCTGTACACACTGACTACTGATTCTCCTCCGGTTGCTGAGTCTGGTCAGGTAGCTGCGTAGAGTCAGGTGTTTGCTGTAGCCTCCAGGTCTGGTCCTGAGTCTGCGCCCTGCTCATGTCGTGTGCTGTCCCACCTGACTCTCCTTTGGCACCACCGCCTTGGTCACCCCTCCCTACCTCGTCTCCGAGGCATGGCCTCACGTGTCCTTGTCTCTGGTCTCCCCCGGTCCCTCCCTAC